AAACTAAAGTAAGCAAGCATGCATAGTTTCTCAAACAAAAACTAAATGGGTTTGTGACCAATGAACAAGCGTTACAAGAAATTTTAAGGGAGACCCTCTGAGTGGAGAAAAGACAAGACAAAAAAAGACCAAAAGCAACAAAGACTAGAAAGGAAAAGAGAGCATCACCAGAAACACCAACTTTATTCATAACAAAGACTCTAAATTCGTATCAATAATCACTCCAAATGTAACTGGACTAAATGCTCCTATCAAAAGACACACGATGTCAAAATGGATAAATAAAAACTTGATCCATCTATATGTTGCCTATAAGAGACTCATTTTAGACCTAAAGACACTAGCAGATTGTAAATGAAGGAACGAAGAACCATCTAGCTTGCAAATGCACATCAAAAGAAAGCCAGAATAGCCATACTGAGACAACTAGATTTTAAACCAAACACTGTAAAAAGAGATGAAAAGAGGTACTATATCAGAATTAAGAAGCCTATCCATGAATAAGATCAATTATTTATGCCCCCAATGTGAAAGCACCCAAATATATAAATCAATTAATAACAAACATAAAGAAACTCATTGATAATAATACAATAGCAGTAGGGAATTTGACACCCCCATATACAGCAATGAACACATCACCTCAGCAGAAAAATCAAAAAGCAATTCCTTTTTTTTTTTTTTAATTTATTGAGGGGGGGGAGGAGGGAGGGAGGGAGGGAGGGAGGGGATATATGGATATGGATATGAATGAGTGGAGGAGGAACAGAGAACAGGACAAAGGATCCAAAACAGGCTGAGTGCTGCTAACAGCAGAGAGACCAATGGGGGCGGGGGGGACGGGGGGATGGAACAAACTCATAAACCAGAAGATCATGACCTGAGCTGCAGTCAGATGCTTAACTAAATGAGCCACCCAAGCACCCCAAAACCATGGCTTTGAATAACACATAGGACCAGATGGACTTAAGGTATATCCAGAACATTCCATCCTAAAGCAGCAGAATACACGTTCTTTTTGAGAGCACAAAGAACATTCTCCTTAAAGATCTCCTACTGGGTCACAAATAAGCCCTCAACAAGTACAAAAAGATCGAGACCATACCATGCATATTTTCACACCACAATAATATAAACTTGAAGTCAACCAGAAGAAAAAAATGAATTGGATAGACCACAATTAACATGGAAGTTAAAGAATATATTACTAAGGAATGAATGTGGGGCGCCTGAGTGGCTCAGTCAGTTGAGCATCGGACTTCGACTCAGGTCATGATCTCCCAGTTCATAAGTTTTGAGCCCTGCATTGGGCTCTCTGGTGTCAACACAGAGCCTGGTTTGGATCCTCTGTCCCCCTCTCTCTCTGCTGCTCACCCACTCGCGTACTCTCTCTCTCTCAAAAAGTAAATTTAAAAAGTTAAAGAATATATATATTTCATGTATGGGCTATTGGCGAAAAGAAAATGACTTCAAGTTTTTCCAAAAATGGCTTAATGAAATAATGTATGATACAATACATTGCTGAAAGCGTGGAGCCTGTGTGGATTCTCTACTTCCTCTCTCTGCCCCTCCTCTGCTTGTGCTCTCTCAAAATAAATAAACATTGGGGGGGGGGCACAAACTTGAACAGTTGTGCCTAAACCATGATGTCTCACTATATACCATTTACAACACCCTCTTAGGTTCATCCCTAACATGAGCTTTAATCTTCATTCATTTTTTAAAACTACAGGTGACCTTTGAACAACATGGAGATTTGCTTATTCTAATAGTTAGGAAAACTATTAGCAAATAACCAATGTCGATACTTTATTACCCTTTCATAAGAAGCCACCTGTCCCTGATGAACATGGATACAAAAATCCTCAACAAGATAGTAGCCAGCCGAATTCAACAATACATTAAAAGAATTATTCATCACAATCAAGTGGGATTTATACCTGGGATGCAGTGCTGTTTCAGTATCTACAAAACAATCAACGTGATTCATCCCATCAATAAAAGAAAGGACAAGAACCACATGATCCTCTCAATATATGTGGTGAAAGCATTTGAGAAAATACAGCATCCTTTCTCGATGAAAACCCTCAAGAAAATAGGGATAGAACGATCATACACCTCAAGATCATAAAAGCCATATATGAAAGACCCAACACTAACATCATTCGCAATGGGGGAAAACTGAGAGCTTTCTCCCTTCTCCCTAAGGTCAGGAACAAGACAAAGATGTACACTCTTGCCCCTCTTATTCAACACAGTATTGGAAGTCTTAGCCTCAGCAATCAGACAACATAAAGAAATAAAAGGCATCCAAATCAGGCAGGAGGAGGGCAAGCTTTCACTCTTCGCAGATGACATGATACTCTATATGGAAAACCAAAAAGATTCCACAAAAAAACTGCCAGAACTAATCCATGAATTTAGCAAAGTCACAGGATACAAAATCCATGCACAGAAATTGGCTGCATTCCTATACACCAACAATGAGGCAACAGAAAGAGAAAACAAGGAATTGATCCTATTTACAATTGCACCAAAAACCACAAAATACCTAGGAATAAATCTAACCAGAGGTGAAAAATTGATGCACTGCAAACTATAGAAAGCTTACGAAACAAGTGAAGACACAAAAAGATGGAAAAGTATTCCATGCTCCTGGATAGGAAGAACAAATATTATTAAAATGTTAATACTCCCCAAAGCAACCTACATATTCAACACAAAATCTATCTATAATCTTAAAATTAGTATGGAACCAGTGAAGACCCTGAAGGCCAAAGCAATCTTGAAAAAGAAAACTAAAGCTGGAGGCATCACAATCCCAGACATCAAGCTGTATTACAAAGCTGTAATCATCAAGACAATATAGTACTGGCACAAAAACAATTGAACAGAATAGAGAACCCAGAAATGAACCCACAAATGCAAAGCCAACTCATCTTTGACAAAGCAGGAAAGAATATTAATAAAGACAGTCTTTTCAGCAAGTGGTGCTGGGAAAACTGGACAGTGACATGCAGAAAAATGAACCTGGACCACCTTCTTAGACTATACACAAAAATAAACTGAAAATGGATGAAAGTACTAAAGGTGAGACAAGAAGCCATCAAAATCCTCGAGGAGAAAGCAGGGAAAAACCTCTTTGACCTCGACCACAGCAACTTCTTACTCAACACGTCTCTGGTGGCAATGGAAACAAAAATGACCTATTGAGACCTCATCAAAATAAAAAGCATCTGCACAGCAAAAGAAACAATCAGCAAAACCAAAAGACAACTGACGGAATGGGAGAAGATATTTGCAAACAACATATCAGATAAAGGGTTACATTAGTATCCAAAATCTATAAATCTATCAAACTCAACACCCAAAAAACAAATAATCCAGTGAAGAAATGGGCAAAAGTCATGAGAAGACAGACACTTCTCCAAAGAAGACATCCAGATGGCCAACTGGTACAGCCAATCTGGAAAACAGTATGAAGTTTCCTCAAAAAAACTAAAAATAGAGCTAACTTCTGACCCAGCAATTGCACTACTAGGTATTTATCCAAGGGATATGGGTATGCTGTTACAAAGAGGCACATGCACACCAATGTTTATAGCAATGCTATCGACAAGAGCCAAACAGTATGAAAAGAGTCCAAATGTCCATTGATGGATGAATGGATAAAGACGTGATCTGTATTGCAGAGTATTACTCAGCAGTCAAAAAGAATGAAATCTTGCCATTTGCAACTATGTTTGTGGAACCTGAGGGTAAGCGAAATTAGTCAGAGAAAGGCAAATATCATATGACTTCACTCATATAAGGACTTTAAGATGGAAAACAGATGAACATAAGGGAAGGGAAGCAAAAATAATATGAGAACAGGGAGAGTGACAAAAACATAAGAGACTTTTAAATACAGAGAGTTACTGGAGGGGTTGTGGGGGTGGGGGGGGACTAAATGGGAAAAGGTCATTAAGGAATCTACTCCTGAAATCATTGTTGCACCATATACTAACCTGGATGTAAATTATAAAAAATTAAAATAGAAGCCATGTGTCCTGATGCAATTTAATAATAAAACAAAGTGTTTAATAATGTTTAAAAAAAAAAATAGTCTCGAAGGTAATAAAAACAGTATAATTAATGGGTTCAATATTTTCAAGCAAGGCTTGGGAGTTATTCTACGTTGCACTGGACAGTATAACTATACTAAAACCACTCATCAACAGAATGATGATGAAAAAGAGTAGTTAATAAATTTTAAATATGTCTATTAGCAACCTTTTCAAGGATTTGTAAAACTATTCTTTGGGGGGGGGGATTCATGAACAGGTCTTAATTAAGCACAGTCAAGAAAACTGGACCTCTGTTAACCTTGTTTTGTGTTCTAGTAAGAATAAAATGGGAAATTCTAAGAGATACTGGTTTAAACATAATATAACCAAATAAAATTCTTCTGCCTTAGGATTTTTCTATTATTTCTCTGGACAGTGAAACTTTTAAATAATTGTCAGAGCTTTGAGGGGCACCTGGATGGCTCAGTTGATTAAGTATTGACTCTCGGTTTCAGCTCAGGTCATGAACTCCTGGTTTCATGAGTTCAAGTCCCCCGCTTGGGATTCTCGTCTCCCTCCATCTCTGCCCCTCCCCCAATCGCAAAGTCTGCCTCCCTAAACAAATAAAACTAAAAATATATATATATTTAAGAAATAACTGTCAGAGCTTTGAAACTTATAGTACAAAAAGACAACAATGAAATTCTAATGTCACCTCTTTAAATAGTGTACCGCTGCTGACAGTCACACTGTGATGCTTATGAGAATACCTTACATGTCTACCTCTTCTACTACTGGAAACTCAAATCAGAGGACCATCATGAGTATTACCTCATGGAAACAATGCAAAATTAACTGCCTACAGATTCAGAAAATTCCAGTCCTATAAAAATATAAAAATCAAATAGCAAATCTTATTTTAGGTTTTATTTATTTTCTGATGGTTTTTGTTACCTCTTCTTTTAGCGCATGTTTTCTTTGTTCCAAACAGATCTCTTTTGCTCTCATCATCTGCAAAGTCTCCTTAGAAACTGCATACTGAAGTTTTTCCATTCTTTCTGCAGCTGCTGCCCACGACGCTTTACCAAATTTCTTCTGATCTGCTCGCATTCGATCGTACACAGCTATTAATAATAATATTTTAAAGAGACATTAAGATATAAGACAACTTGATTCTGAATAATTTCAAAGTTTTTGTTCTCAATAACCATACACTTAAAGATACAAATCTCAGTCCCTTAGGTTTCCTATATAGCAGCTCTATAACAAAACTCAACAATATCCAATATCTTAGATTCTAATGTCCTCACTAATAATTCTAAATAATCATCCTCAGAAAATTGTGAAGATAAAACTGATGACACAGGGTGCCTGGATGGCTCAGTCGGTTGAGCGTCTGACTTCGGCTCAGGTCCTGATCTCACAGTTCGTGGGTTCGAGCCCCGCGTCAGGCTCTGTGCTGACAGCTAGCTCAGAGCCTGGAGTCAGCTTCAGATTCTGTATCTCCTTCTCTCTCTGACCCTCCCCTGCTACCGCTGTTCTCTCTCTCAGAAATAAATAAAACAATAAAAAAATAAAAACAAAACTGATGACAGATTTTAAAACTTTTTTAATAAAATATTTGAGAAAGTTGTAGGCACACAAAAGGGGGAGAGAGGGCGGGGGGGGGGGGGCGGCGTGAGAATCCCAAGCAGACACTGCACTGTCAGCAGGGAGCAGGACATGGGGCTCGATCCAATGAACTGTTGAGATCATGACCCAAGCGCAAATCAAGATTCAGAGTTGGACACTTAACCGAATGAGCCAATATTCTTCCACATGTTCGTTAATAAATTCTAAGTTCATATACTTTATTTTTAAAAGGTTTACACTTTTTCCCGAGTATGCTAACTGAAATCAGTCATAACTATTTAAGATTATTTGAAATTACTGAAACCCATGTGTTAAGTTTTTATCATTCTGAGTCCTCCAAAAATACTACAAAAACCTGATGGAGCAAAAAATAACTCCTAAATGTTAGCATGGAACTTATTCAGAGGTTAGAGTTGGAAGGGCACAACCAAACCCCAAGGAAAACCTCTAGCTGCATCTTGCACCTTCCCCACAAAGGGAATTTTTTATTTGCCACAACAGAGCCCAACTTTAAGAGATACTTCTTGGGGCGCCTGGGTGGCTTAGTCGGTTAAGCGTCCGACTTTCGCTTAGGTCATGATCTCACGGTTCGTGGGTTCGAGCCCCGCGTCGGGCTCTGTGCTGACTGCCAGCTCAGAGCCTGGAGCCTGTTTCAGTCTGTGACTCCCTCTCTCTCTGACCCTCCCCTGCTCACGCTGTCTCTCTCTCTCTCTCTCTCCTAGAAATAAATAAAACATTAAAAAAAAGAGAGAGAGAGATACTTCTTGACAATCAAATAGCTACTATCTTCTAGTTACAGAACTTTATCACTTACAGTATAGTACAGTAGTGGCTTATCCTGGGTTCTTACATAATAAAACCAACCATCCTTATGCCCACCCACTTTAACAGGTTAGAGACACACTCATCATAAAAGAGGTAGGCAATTTGAATAGTACGGAAGATCTTTAAATGAGTACACATTCACTAGTAGTATCTTTTATATGTCCAGAGTTAAGTGATAAATAATTTTGTACTGCCACAGTCTCCTAACCATCTTGTGCAAGGAAATATATCTCAGTAATCTTTGCCTCTGGCTGATTTTTATGAAATCTTAATTTTTTTAGACTAACACAAGTCACAGTAAAAATTTAAACTGTAGAGGCAGGCTTGTAACCAAAAAGAGCAGTTTTTCAGGCTCAGCTCTTCCCTATCCCCTAGTTTCAGTGCCCACTGCTTTTCACTGTTTCTGGTGGTTACTTCAATAAAAAAATGCTGCTGTTTCTCAATTTACTTTAAAAACTATCTTTTGAGTTCCTATTATAACAGATGAAATTTTGCTGACTTACAGTCTCCTTTCAATATATTAATTCTTTCTATTTGTTTTTCTGTGACCTTCAAGTGCTAATGAAAAGACTTAAGTTTTTAATGCACAACCTTGCACTGAATTTCAACTTTAGGCTAACAAGTAAAATCTATTCATTTTGGTTGAACAAATAATTCTGCAATTTTAAATTTCTGCCTTTCTTTTAAAACTGTATTTTAATATTTCTACAACCATAAGATCAATACAGTAGTACAATGTAGGGTAATAAAAAGAAAAAAAAAACCCTAAATGATTTGGAGTGAAATAATTGAGTTAAATTCCCAATTCTATCTATAAATGACACATAACTTTTGGTAAGAGATTTAATTGTTCTTGGACTCAATTCCCTTGATGAGAAATGAAATATAGTACCTAGTCTAAAAGGCTTTGTAGGATTTAAGTGAGAGAATTACAGTTATCAAAATGTCTCTTCCACTTCACATGGCACCGTCACTTCCTTGTTCTCTACTTTAGTCTGGGGGGTAGCTCCCTGTCCTAATTCAGTTCCATGTTGTTACCTACCATAAGAGCTAGTCTACATTTAGTCTTCCAATACCTTGGATAAAACATATTCTTACAGTTCGCTGTTAACTCACTTCACTTAGAATTATTTTCCAACAGCTCAAAATATGACAGTAATAAAGAAAATCATCAGTGTACAATGTTTGGAATACCCCTAGAACAGTATAGGGGTTTCTCGCCAATAGATTCTTCTTTCCCTCTGGTGGCAAGAATAAAGATTTTTTTCTAAGTAGACCATTTACATTATCAGGATAACAACTCTATAATAATGGTCTATGATAATCAGTCAATGTGGAAAACAAAACTCTGAAGGCCATGCAGTTCTGGTGTTCACAAATTATGTTAAAAAAAAAAAAGTTTAATGAGTTAACATGTATACTTGTCAGAAATGATCCAATTTAAGATGTTTTTAAAAGCTCTGCAATAGGGGCGCCTGGGTGGTTCAGTAGGGCAAGCATTCGACTTTGGCTCAGGTCTTGATCTCACAGTCCATGGATTCGAGAGCTGCATCGGGCTCTGTGGAGACAGTTCACAGCCTGGATCCTGCTTAGGAGCCTGTGTCTCCCCCTCTCTCTGGCCCTCCCCTACTCAGGCTCTGTCTCACTCTTACTCAACCAACAAACATTTTTAAAAAGCTAAGCAATAGTATATCAAAATTAAGTTACATCTGGCTCTGTATAATAAAGAAAAGAGAAAAGGGGGCTGTTTAACTCTTCCTTTAAAAAGTGAAATTAGAAGGTTACCATTCTGAATGGAAACATAAAGGAGGGCTTTTACTCTCAGCAGCATAAAGCAAAAGAGAGATCTTCATTCCGCTTCTCTAACATTGGGGGGGGGGCGGGGGGGGGGGCACGCAGGAAACAGACACAAGAAAGCAAAAGTAAAAGGCCAGGCAAATATCTGTTTGGGTTCAAGGGCTTCCTGCTAGGAAAAAGTCACTAGGAGTGAGGTATAAAGAAGTCTACAGTGACTCTGATGAATCATTTGGAACCCTAGAATGATGTTCATCATACATAAAAAAAAAGTTTTGATTAAAACTAGAGAAACAAAGTATACAATAAGAACAATCATCAAAACTGTAAAGGACCAAAACCAACAAACTATAGGTCATATAATCATTTCAATTATGTAACAAGCCATATATTAAAAAATTGATAAGCACACAAAGTGGCTACATTGGCAGTAGAATTACCGATGTTGGAGGGGGTCCCTCTAATATTCTAAATTTTCTGTAATGGTTATATATTTTCAATCTTAATACAAGGTTTTTTAAATATTAAAAAGTGCGTCTGGAAAGCAGACTCTAAACCAAATGATTTACATAAAACAATTTATAAAAATAGTTTACAGTAAGAAATGACAGCTTTTAACATATTGTCAACATTTTAATGTATTGTTCTCTTACTTTTGTAGAATTAAATTTTAATTTAGGCTTTAAAATTATCCTAATGCTCTAAGGTAAATACTCAGGAGTGGACTGCTGGATCATATGGTAAGCATATCTCTAACTTACCTACAAAACTGCATTCATTTTGCAGATTGCCTGTACAATTTTGCATTACCACCAGCAATACAGGAAGGGTTCTTGTTACTCTGCATCCTTGTCTGCCCTTGGTATTTTTAGTACCCTTTTTTTTTTTTTGGGATTCTTATAAGCATGTGTTGGTATCTCATCGTGGTTTTAATTTGCATTATGCTAATGACTAATAGTCTCACCCATCTTTTCAAGTGCTCATTTGCCATCTTTATCCTCAGTTCAAGTCCTTTCCCCATTTATTAACTGAACTGTTTCCTGTTTCATTTTTAAGTGTTCTTTATATATAGTCTGGATACAAGTCCTTTGTCAGATTTTATTTGCAAATATTTTCTCTTGAATACCCTCTGGTACATGGCAGAGGCAAAGTTCTTAACTTTGGTGAAATTCATTTTATCAATTTTTTTCTTTTATGGTTCATACTCTTCACTTTTCACTTTTAAACTTTAACAGTTTGTATTTGTAGTGTCACTGCTACAAACTCTGCCTACCTCTCTAGATTAAGGATTTTTCGTATTTTTCTTATGGAAGTTTCAGTTTTCTTTTTTTTTTTTTTTTTTTAATAAACCTAAAAAGTCTGTATGAACCCCCAAATTTGTAGCAGTTGGTGAGAAGAGCAAATGACCTGGGGATCGTCTAAAATTCCAAGTTGTGTCTTAAACGTGAGAAGTCTTGTCGGGAACTCTGCCGTTAAGCTGTGGGGTAACTGGTTAATCAGAATTTAATTATGTTATACTACCACTCCATTACTATGTTTTCATGTGGAGTATGTGTAAATACATGTCCAGAAAAGAATGAAAAGATATACCTTAATTGGTTGATAGTGATCTTTTTCAACTGCTAGGACTATGAGTGGTCTTTATACACTTTTCTACAAGCCTGCTGCAAACAAACTATTTAAACCACTCCTTTTCAAAAATATCTAACAAGAATAACTTTAGTAGGAAACTCACCTTTTTGTGCTTTAGCTGTTATTTCAAAATATTTGACAGTAAGATCCTGAATAGACAGCACAGCCATGTGAGCTTTTCGCTGCCAATCAGCATCTTCTTTTTGTAGACTTTCAATTCTTCGAGGACCCAGATAGTCATTCTCCATGGAAATCTTTACAGGGGAAAAAAAAAAAGAAAAATTAAGAAATCTATTTCTTTACTCACTCCATAAATATTACTGAATATTTACATATCAGGCATTGGACCTGGTGCCAAAACAAAGGATACTTATATTTCCTTGCTCTAGAGTACAAGCTATAAATTTACAAAACAAGTAAATTAACCACCATGTTAAAGATACATTTTTTTAATGTTTATTTTATTTATTTTGAGAGAGGAATGAGAGAGAGCAGGGGAGAGGCAGAGAAAGACTCCAAAGCAGGCTCATCAATGTCACCACAGATCCTGATTTGGGGCTTGAATCCATAAACCATGAAATCATGACCTGAACTGAAACCAAGAGTCAGATGCTTAATAGACTGAGCCACCCAGGTGCCCCTAAAGATATTTAACACAGAAATCTGTTTCCCATTCCTCTTTGTCTTCTTTTTCATCCTTCCACTCCTCCAAATATAAGCAACGGAATTACAGCAAAATGGTAAGATGTTATTTTGGGGTGCTAAGATAACAAAAAATGTATTTCCTTCTTTACGGTAGTTACATTTTCAGGTTAAGAACTATTATTGCCAATAAGGGCACCTGGGTGACTCAGCTGAGACTTTGGCTCAGGTCATGATCTCACAGTCCGTGAGACCACGTCAAGCTCTGTGCTGACAACTCAGAATCAAGAGCCTGCTTCCAATTCTATGTCTCTCTGTCCCTCTCCCATTCATGCTCGATCGCTTTCTGTCTAAGGTGAATAAATGTTAAAAAAAATTTTTTTTAAAGATTTCTGCCACTGAAATACTTCTAACTGACATATATAAAATAATTGAAAACTCCAAGTTGTTAAGACTGATAATAAATATATTAGCCCATCTATCTACTAACAATCCCGGGTCAGAAACAATAGACAAAAATTAACTACTGTTTTCAAGAGTTACACCTAAAACAAAAGGACAAATGAAAGTTGAAAGCTGAATTATGGACAGGAAGGTACCAGGTAAACGCTAAAGTAAAATCACAGAGGTAACAATATTAATATTAGAATACTATAAAGGTATGTTTAACAGGTAATAAAGGTGAAATCCAGCAAGACTAGCAGTGAAGTCTTTGTGCTCTCCATCCTGCTTTATCATATAGTGAGAAAAGACTGCTTTAAAAAATGGGAGGCACAGGGGCTGGCGCGAGGTGGAATGAGGATCATCTCAGTGGCTCAGTTGGTTAAGTGTCAGCCTTTGGCTCAGGTCATATCTCAGTTTGCAGGTTTGGGTCCCACACTGGGCTCTATGTTGACTGAGTGGAATCTGCTTAGGATTCATTCTCTCTCTCTCTCTCTCTCCCCCCACCCCTCCCCTAGATAAACTTTAAAAAATTAAATATGAAATTAGTTAACACCTTATTAGGAGGATGAAAACACAGAAAGATATAAACCCATCCTCGGCAGAATTCTGAAAAACTAATCAATTATAAGCCACCAAAAAATTAGCTTGAAAAAATTCAGAAGTGGATTAACACAAGCCATATTCTCTACACAGTACAATAAACAAATTAAAAGACTAGCCTAAACCCAAAATAAAATTTTAATCACCAGAATGGAAGGTTAACACCTGGTTTTACTCTGGAATAGAAGGGGAAATATATGCAAGAGCATATATTATAGAGCACAGCACACACTCAGTAATTTATTAGCAGTGTTATGAATGGCAAGGCATAAGGAAGGATCAAGAATAATGAAAAAAATCTGTATGTGGAACTGCCACTTCCTCAAAAAGTAGAACAATGGGGGACTAGCCGATTTCAAAGGGGAGCAGATCAAGGATTTCACTTTACATATGTTAAGTTTGATTTTGCAAAGGTCATGGCTAGAGATATAAATTTGACAGATAATATTTATAGCCATGAGAGTAGATGAGGTTATCTAAGTTAGTCAGGAGGAAAAGCCTCATGACTGACCCTTAGGAATTCTAACATAGTAAAGCTGGGTGAACAGCCTACAAAAACCAAGCCAGAGGGAATGGAGACACCAGGAAAGGGTGGAATCAAGAAGCAAGCAAGATTCAAAGTAAGAGAAATTAACCCTGTCCAACACTGCTTAGGGGTCAAGTAGGATGTCAACTAGGATCCAAGATCTAACAGCAATAGGATCACTGAACTTAGCAACATAGGTTCTGGAGTATAGACAAACTTCCTTTGCCTATTAACTCCCATCACATCCTTATATCTCAGTTCAATTACTGGGTTCATGGAAGTTTTCCCTGACTCCCCGTTATAACCTCTTCAGTGCGACACATTTAACTTTCCCTCATAGCGCTGGCACAATTCCACTTTATATGCTTGGGAACTTTAAATATTTTATTTTTATTTGTTTTTGAGAAAGACAGTAGAAGGCAGTGAGGGTCAGAGAGGGAGACACATAACCTGAAGCAGGCTCCAGGCTCTGAGCTGTCAGCACAGAGCTCGATGGCTTGAATTCACAAACTGCAAGATCATGACCTAAGCCAAAGCTGGATGCTTGACCAGTTAAGCCACACAGTCACCCCTTGTAAATTTTAAATATTAACTGCTTTCCCCCTTAATGTTTATTTTTTGCTTTTCACTAGCACACAGCCTGGTACAAACCATACAATCAAATGAATGAGTAAATAAAAATTCACTCTACACCTGTTTATTTAAAAATATTTTTTTCTTAATGTTTTATTTATTTCTGAGAGAGAGAGAGAGAGAGAGCGAGCGAGCACGTGAGCAAGGGGAGGGTCAGAGAGAGAGGGAGACACAGAATCTGAAACAGGCTCCAGGCTCTGAGCTAGCTGTCAGCACAGAGCCCGATGCAGGGCTCAAACCCACGAACCATGAGATCATGACCTGAGCCAAAGTCAGACGCGTAATCAACTGAGCCACCCAGGCACCCCTACACCTGTTTTTGAGGAGGAGAAAGATGCAGACATGAGTATAAATAATACTCTTTTGACAATTAGTCTGAGTAAACAGAGAAAAAAGGGTGTTGCTACAAGAGGACAAAACTTAAGGGTGGACCCTTTGCTTTCTGTTTTCTTCTAATGAGAGATCATGGAGCAGGATGAGTCATTGTTAACAAGTATCCAGCAGAGGGAAAACAAAGATGCCAAGGGGAAAATGGGGCTAATTATGCACCATGGGAAGGGATAGGATTCAGAGTACTGGTGTAGTGATTTGCTCTTGGTAAATGTTGGAATAGTTCCTCCATGGACATAAAGTAAGGCAGGTTTTGGATTTGATAGAAGGATGAGTTTTCCCCTCTGAAGAAAGAATCCAGATAAAAGGTTGGTACAGGAGAGGGGAGGAGAGAAGACACAACATGATTGCTTTTAGACAGTAGGATGACAAACCATTCAGAAAGACTCACTAAGTAAATATTTTTCAAAAAGTGGCCATGGTTAGTGTGGTCATGGTGAAACAGGCACAAACTCACATACTGCTGGACCAACTATAAACTCATGAAAAACTTTTCTGGGAAGTATTTTATGATACCATACTCTTTGTATTTTTTTAATACCATTTTCTTACCTATTTAAGAAAATATTCAAAGAATAATAACCAAAAATGTTAACTGCAATGCTGTTCAAAATAAAGAAAAATGTGTTCCAAATATCTAAGAATAGAGAATGTTACTTATGATACACCTATAAAGTATAATTCTATACAAAAATAATGCTTATGAAGTTTTTAATAAAGGCAAATGAATATAATATTAAGAAATCAAATCATGAACATGATTTCAACTACATAATGTCAAGGGAAAAAAGAAAATATATAGAACGTATTAATGATGTCATTTTTTGTCTGAATGTGGGTGACTATTTTTCTTCCTGTTTAAAAGTTGTACTTTCCAAATCTCTATTGTATATGTGTTGCTTTTATAATCATAAACTTAAAAAAATGCTTTATTTCTTCTCAGGTTCAAAAACCATACCAACTAGACAAGTTGAAGACATATAATCCCAGAGGTTTCCTGTTTCTGGTCAAGCAAACAATGAGCTCCTGTTTTCATATATGAGGACCAGCAAGAGGCAAATTATTAGACTTACCTCTTTTTTTCCAGTGTGTATGGGAGGGAGGGGAAGTGGAGATATGATCAGAACCTAAATGTCTTCTTTAAAAGTTGGAAAACAGAATTATGTGAGCTCCATTTCTGGAACTACAAAAATAGTGCCAATAGTTAAAGATAATTAACTCAGGAGCAGAAGTTTAGATTCTTGATACTGGATTCCCTACTCACCTGGACTAGAATTTTTTTGTTTTAAGTTTCAGAAGACAATTTACTCATCTCCAATCATATAAACTTTTATGATGCTACTGGATATGGCTGCTATTCTTCTCCTTTTTAGACTTTACCATGGATAATATTTGGATTCATTCAATTATATAAATTGATAAAAGAACCCACTGTACTGGGTACCTCAGGGGATATACTGTAAGGCACATAATCTACTAAGAAATTTAACCATCTAATTGGAGGGTAAACAAAGACATATGTGATGTAGAAATCTGTTTTCAAATTAAGATACCTGGCAGTGATACTTATTAAATAGACCTTTAACAAAATCACTTAACATTCAATTATTCATTCAAAATGAAGACATACTATTTTCTCAGTGACAGCTTAGTACTAGGCACTTAGGACAGCAATATATTCAGCCTAGTTGAAGGCAAGAGGTACCAAAATAAACAATAACAGAGTATGAAAAATATCATGATAAAGTATACCTAAGATACCATAGGTAGCACCAGCTATGGATGTTTCAGTACTAGTCTGGGAAGAAAATTTCTAAAGGGAACAAGGAGTAAGTAAATTCTTAAAATAATAAGTAGAATTTTATACAAGTATGTAAAACAGTGAAGGGTGTCTCTGTGTAAAAAGAATAAAGTTATTTTAAGAACTTTACGAAAAATCAAAGGTTTGGAATGAGAGGACTCATTTAGCTGCTTCGATGAGGATATACTTTACTGAGGTTCAAAACTACAGAGAGCGTT